CTGCTGGCCACCAGGACACCCTGGTCCACCAGGACACCAATAGTTGAGAAACAGGTAACAACTCAGTCATCATGAACTCCTACAAGTTTCTACCCTACTTGTGTACAAATGTGTATTTACATACTCCTGAGAAAGGAAGCTGTGCCCTGGCTCAGACGTTTCACATCTCACAGACCTGAAATGTTGTTTAATGGGCTTAATGAGTAGAATCAAGCCGAATGAACAGCACTTCTGTCACAACTGTGCTAAACGAACAAGGATCAGCTGATAGCACTGCTCACCATTGTGAAATCACCTCCTGTGTCAATAAATTTGACAAACCTTACCCAAATAGCATATATATAGCATATATATCTATATATGTATACATATATATAGCATGTATAGCATATATCACACCCCCATCTGATATCTTCCTAGGTTGATTTATGTGGGAGAATTTCAGCTAAAATATATCAAATATTTATAAATCCAGGGCAAGGCAAAAATACAGTTTGCCCAAATTAAGGATAATCTATTAGAAAAGCTGTAGTGCTCTCACAGTCTCGGGGGGGCTTTCATTTCATAGGAAGTTTTGGTGTTAGGAGTAAATCACAGAACTCTTTTAACACAGTTTTGGCATATGTACATCCCCACCCTTACCACTTATTCAGGATGTTCCTTGCTAAATCCCTTTCTCATTTATTTTAGATGGATGGGCTTTTAAAAACAATATTGTTATTAAAGATCACAGAAGCCTTGAAGATCGACAAACCGCAGCACGATTTCTTCAGAAAAAGAATCCTTTATGTCCAGTGGTTTTAGACACAATGGAAAACCTGAGCAGTTCAAAATACGCCGCATTGCCAGAAAGACTGTATCTACTTCAAGGAGGGAAGGTCATCTACAAGGTTAAAAATATCAGTAATAATGAGCACAATACATTGAGATTTTTAAATTTCAAATTAATTTGAGAATGCTTCAAGTCAGTATGTAGTTTCAGAACCTGTATCTACTTCAAGGAGGGAAGGTCATCTACAAGGTTAAAAATATCAGTAATAATGAGCACAATACATTTGAGATTTTTAAATTTCAAATTCATTTGAGAATGCTTCAAGTCAGTATTTAGCTTCAGAACCAGCAGTTTCACAGCTCACACTAACTGGAGAGAAAAGGACTTGTAGCAAAACCACTCTAGGCCTTTATAATGTACATATTTGACTACAGTCCTGGTCAAATACTGATCTTTTGGCTCATTAAGAAACCCGGGTACATCTAAGCTGTGAGATCCAGGAACACTTTCCAGCTCCAGGATCCAGATGTTGGCCCTGTCCCAGTTACACAGCAGGGTGTAACCTGTGCATACAGCATCTCCCACACGACAGCTGCTGTGCAAAGGAAGCCCAAGCACAGCTGCCCATAGCTCTGGGTCAACTGCTGTTGTCTAGAAGGCTTCTGCTTTGTGTTATTTGTGTATCCCTGTGTCATTTTATTGCCTTTGCAGGGAGGACCAGGGCCTTGGAATTATCATCCCCAGGAAATAGGTGCCATACTGGAAAAACTGAAGTAGAAAAAGAAGAGGACTTCAGAGTAAAGACTATCTGGATAAAAAAAGCTCAATGATCAAGTTTTCATAGATGAGGAAAAAAAACAATGTAAAAATAACAGTAGAGACAAGAATAACACCACGTGTGTATCTAAAGAGCATCTGTAATGTGGTTCATCACGTCTTTGTCTAGAGCTTTTCAAGTCTCATCACTCCAACCCCAACTACTGCACTGTGGTATCACACCACATGCAGAAATGAACGGTAGTTGGGCCCACTGATATGTCAGGGTTGGATACCAGTGTTTATACACCTACAGAACATCACACAGGCTAAACTTCAGGCGTGCTGGTATTTGCAAAAGTCGACTGGCATGCAAATCAACCGACTTCAAAGTATCGAGACTCTTTCTCCTGTATACCTACGGTTTTCCTAAAGGTTCACTTCCACTGACTTCAGAAGGCTTTTCAGTGAGACAGTCTCTATCAGTATTTGTTTCTATTAGTATTTGTTGTGACAGTCATAGCATAAAGCACAGGCAGCTGTGACCTGATGGTAGAAAATATTTATAGAAACAAGGGATTGATCTGCAATTATTAAAATCCTACCAGAGCACTTCACATGGCTTCAGATTATTTCCCTCCCCACCCCCTACACCCTGCTATTTCTAAGCAACAGTAGATTTTTATATTCATCCTATTTATCTTGAACAGTCTGAGTTGATGAGAAAGTTAACAATTTAGGAACTTCTGAAGGACTTGTTTGATAGTAGGAAGGAATACCTCCCATTTAAGTCTTTCACTTTTTTTCCTATTTAACTAGAGTGCAAGGGAAACATTTTACAGGAAATCGAGTTTTAATTCATGTATTATGAAAGCCTGATGTAAACAAACTGGTTTAAATGGGCTCAGTTATGTTCTAGTGATCTAGGGTAACAGTTCAAGTTATAAAACTAGAAAGCTGTTACTACAATTAACAAGAGTACTGCATGGCATACGTTAAACCAGTGGAGAACACATACTACATCCATACATTCAAAAAACACTTTCATACAAGGTTTTAATAATAAATATTCTCTGCGCTACAGATATCAAAATATGACTAGTTTATATATATATATATATATATATAAAAAAATCAAGGTACAAATTTAAGCTGGGCTCAAGTATTTCATGCTGTGCCCTCAGCCATCACCCGGTGCACTGATACAAAGTGATCAAAGGCAGATTTGATGATGAAACGCAAGTAAGTGGCTTGGAAATCAGGAAGCTGCAGCAGGAAAAAAATAACGTTATTGCACTGTAGTAACATAACTATCACACAACATTTGCGTTAGTTTGTTAGAAAGATCTAGATATTTGTGTGTCTGTTTTCAACTGACACGGAAATCAAGTTTTGATACATCTAGCCAGCTTCAGAGCTTCTTGACACACCAGCAATTTAAAATAGTCCCATCCCTCCCAAACACCGCAGCCATACAGATAACAACTGCAGGAGGAAAGATTGCCGCAGGAGGCAGGTGCAATTTAATACCAAGATCTACAAATTCCTGTATCTAACATCCATTTAGCAATAACTATAAATAAAGACATGGTTTGGCTTTTCATGGTTTCCCCCCAGCTAGTCTAGACATCCCATTTCACGAACCACTACTGATGTACACTGGAAATACTCACTGGAAATTCTTCCATTTGAAGCTGTCCTTCTGTGTGTTCCAAATCTAGAAAATATATTTTAAAGCAAATAATGTGCAAGGCTGTGAAAAGTTTTCACTGGGCTCCAGAGTTCAAGAGAGTTTAAGGAGCATGAACTTACACTGCATATAGAAATTGTTCTTTTTTAATAAGGTGATTTAAGGGAACAAATACTTTTTGCAATATCCCACTCATTACACTGTTTTATAAAATGTCACCCAAGAGGCATTAATAAAATCAAACCCAAACCAACTAAACAGTGCAGGAAGTGGCACTCTATTATACTATGCAAGTATGTTTTTAATATTTGGAATGTAAAACCAAGTGCACGAGTAATGCTTTTAGCTCTTATACCGCATTTTACATCTCCAAACTGCTACAGAGACCAGCAGTGTCCAGAAACTTCATTTAAATGTGACTGTTACACTAAAGTCTAATAAAATAATCATCAAGCCACACTTGACTACTCAACAAATAGTCATGGGGTGAAAATGACTCACTGAAAAAGATCAACATTATTCCCACAGAATCCTCACTGCTTCAGATTCAGAATCTTACCTTTTTCAACGCACTCTTCAAAATCGACTGGGTCTTCAGATACGCTTCTTTCAATCCTTAAAGTCCGCACTACAATAAATATACATTTAAAATATCAACACAAATTCTGGTTCTTTATTGAGAACTATATTTATTCCATGACTTTTCATACACAAAGCACTTTAAAACCATTAACAAATCCATTCTTCCCCTAACTTACAGGGAAGGGCTACAATACAACCACCACCCTCATGTTCCAGGTTGGATAAATAATGACAAAATTTCCCATTTTTTGTGTAGCCTCTGCTAATGGTCAAGCTCCTGTCTCTGTGCTCTGACCCTCTAATAGTCCTTTCTGGTTTAAAATTCACATTTTCCTCCATAATATTTAAAAAAGTAAGACCAAAAGAGTTCTGTCCTATGAAAAAACAAAAATCAATATTCAAAATAAATCATTAAAAGAGTAAGTATTGCAGTCCTGCCCATTAAATTAGAACAGCCAACACAACAATTATTATAAGCTCAATACAAGGTGTTATATGAGCAAAATAAAAGCAGATGGGGTAGAATTTCCATATTTTCCTGATTTATTTATGAACAACTTTGAATGTGAAGGACAATTGCTTTGTGAAGTTAAATCTTGATGAATCTGGTAAAAGTGGCTACTTATAGAATGTGACACTACTCATATAAACACAAACACACATTTTAACTTATGTATTACCTACTGCAATTCATGAAGTCTTACCCAAGTAACACTGGATTGCGACTTTGCTGATTTTTACACATTTAGGAAAACCAATAATGAATTCCTGTGGGAACATGCCTGTCGTCACCCAAAACGTTTCTGAACTTCTGTGGAGGAAGGAAAAAAAAAAAGGACAAAAACCACACCTGCATATTTTTCCATCTACAACCATCTTGAAAGCAATTTATTATCAAAAAAAAAAAAGGCTGCAAAGCCATTTTTATTTGGGGTATTGTAAGCAAAGCTCTGGATGACAATGGGGAAGCTCTCAATGTTCAGGCTCTGTGGCCAACCATTACCGCAGGACCCACAAATGGTGGGGAACCGAGGGGGGGGGAAAGAGGAAAAAAAAAACAACGGAGGGGGTGGTTAAATTACACGGCAACGTGAACACGAAGGGAAAGGACAGAGTCTCCAGGTACCGAGCTGGACAGTAGCGGCAGGACCGGGAGGGATCTCTG